GTTTTCTCATAGCTTCTGAGGGACAGAAATTCTACAGATATTTTATTTAAGCAGTGTCAGCACTTTTGATCCCACATACTTATGGTTGTGCAAACAATGAATTCTTTTTTTGCTTGGCCATTGAATTGAGAAACTGGAAGAAATTCTTGGTTTTAGTTGACCAGAAAGTTGTTTTCAGGCAAGCTAAAATGAAGCAATTTGCATAGTTTCAATTTTCTTAGTCCTTTTCTACAGACTTTAATAAAGATGGGTCGATTTCCAATTGAAGTTTTAATTGAAAACAGTATTTTGAAACAAATACTCAAAATATGTTTGTTTCCAAAGTTCAGAAAAAGTTTAGTTTTTTTCTGGTTTCTTTATTTTTCTGGCTGATGATATCTTAGGCTATTTTTCAAATTCACTTTTTTTCCCCCCTGAAGCAATATATTTTCATAAATGCATTGCTTAGCAGAATATTTTTACCCAGGATTGCTAGCAATTTTGCAACTCACTCCTTTTGTCTTAGCGTTTAAGCAAAAAAACCCCCAACCATAACGTTGCTTCTAAAGCTTATAGCCTCTTGCCTACAGTTTGGAAAAATGGTTGTGATATGTAACATCAGGCATGACTAGAGAAATCCATCTGGAGTCTGTGAGAATGAAGGCAGTACAGGTGGCATCCAGGTAACAGAGGTACAGTGTCAGGGGTGGGGAATATAATTTGTGATGGCACAATTTGAAAATACTCAATGAGATCACTTACAGATTAAAGGAGGTTACTAGACAAAGAAACTTATAATCAAGGTTGACATGGTCTTCCATTATCAGCAAGCCAGTCTGCAGTTGTCCAACCTGAGCTTTCTTGCACTTTTAACATATCTGTTAATTGCAATTGTCAGGGACAACATTAGCACAGAAAATAAGGGGTTAATTAAAACCAGTGGGTGTCAATTTCTTTGTTTTAGCAAAAAAGAACAAGATAGCGTATTTTTTGGGAAATTCTGCTTTTCTTTAGCACAATTTGTTTGGCCATCCATACCCAGCAGCACTAGTGCAGTTGGGGCTGGGGACTCAGTGCATTTACCTCGTGTGAACAAAGGAGCCAGATTACTCTGCTCTGTTCTTTTGCATCAGAAGGTATCTGCTATTTTGAACTAAGTGTACGAATTGAACTACAAACTGGTGATAGTGGGGTGTGTATTTTAGAAGTCAATGTGATTATGTGCTTTGAACAAATCAAGTGCTCTGTTATCTTGCTGCAATTTTTCTTTTTTTTTTATTAGAATAAAATTTACAAACCAGCTCTTCTTACAAATGTTCATAGTGTTCACCAAAAGGCAGCTAATGGTGAATGAATTCCAAAGCATAATACTGTGCCATAACTAATGGAGTGAGAACATTACCTATTTAAAGAGCTGCTCTGAAGGTTTCACTTTGCACAGCAAACCCCTGTGCTAGAAGGCTGTTCTTGGCCTAAGAACAAGGTTTGCATACCTTGACCAAGGTGAGAATGGTTTAGGAGGCCTTGCTATTTGGAAGAAGAAATTTTCTCCAATAGGGGTTTCATCAACTCCTCTGAATACTATTTATTGTCCAAATTTGGGAACTAACTCTTGGAAACACTAGGTATGGAATTCTTCTGCTGAGAATATGCTCAATCCTTCTGTTGAGTCAGTCTGTAATGGTGGTTGCTGAAGTGTGTTATGCTGTTATGACCTGAGCCTGATGGAGATTCTTAAAGTGTTGGAGAAATTTGGATTAAATGTCACTGATGAGTCAATTAGTAGGACACAGTGGTTTAAAGGTAAATGTTGCTCTGTGGTGTGACTGTGCAGAATCACTTTTCTCAAGGATACTTGAGATATGGAGAAGGAGATACATTGTTCTTCTGATCCCCCTGGTGCACTAAATACTTCAGCTGTAGTGTCTAAGCTGATCCCAGCTACTTATCATACTGCTCTGTGTGTATATGTGCTGGGAAGAAGCATTGACATCTTCCATGTAAATATGTATGAAGATCAGCTGTGGTCTGGACTCTTGATAGAAACAGCTTAAAGTTTAGGGCTAAAACTTTTTATTGTTGGTATTGTGGCTGAATGCTGGCTGGGAGTGGGAAAAGAGATTACCCTGTCACTCAAGTAGATAGAGAAGGAGCTGAACTGCTCTGCAATCTTTGGTCTATTTTAAAAAGCTCTGCTATTGGTAGTAAGGGAAGTAGGACCTGTTACAGCCCTTGTGTAGCTCTGCACAGGCAGACTGTGATGCACCCATCAGTCCTTAGGAAAAGCTCCCTGGGCTCTGGCTGCACAGTGCAATGTGGGAAATTCTGCTGTAGAATGGCCTTGCACAAATGGCACCTCCTTCCCACATTCCTAGGTGGAAGAAGAACCTGTCTGATAGATTTTATGGTGCTGTAGTGTTTGAAACAATAGTCTCCAGGGTGGATTGGCAGGGGAGGCTAGCAGTGGGAAGGAAGAGGTAAAGGGAGCAAAGGAGAGAAGAGACTTTTGAGTTCAGGATATATTACACTTAAAATTCTGAGACTGCTCCATGGATGGGCCACATAAAGAATTAGATTTACAATTTGAACTAAGATCCGTAAGAAAATAATTGGACTGGTGAAGCAATCTCACTCTCACTAAATTGCTTTCCAAGGAGCCTATCCTGAATGGGGCTGTGCAGCTTTCTGATATTTGAGCATCCTCATTTCTCATTGACTTCAGTGAGAATTAAACTCATTGAACTCCTCACTAGGTAATTAGTTTCTTCTAGGTCTAATTTTTCTGCTGCAAAGTGGTAGCTGCCTTTCCCTTCTATTAGCAGTCATACCCTGTGCCACTCAAGTCCAAGCCTCAGCATGCAGGCATCATTTAATGGTTCTTTTGTGAGACATGTGCTTAAGCATTTGAACATAGATTCTGTTCCTTGTTGTTTTCTGTGTTACACTAACTGCACCACTTTAGCAAAAGCAACACGCAAAATATGTGATGGAAAAGCTTTCCAAAACTAATCCTGTCAAAAGCTTAGATCAGTTTTTTGCTTTGTTTTATGTATGTAGGAAGAGTTTGTTTTGCCTTCAAAAAGGGATGAACACACTTCAAATTAAGAGGGCAGCTTCATTAGCATGGAGGATGAATGAGATAATAAATGAGATCATGAAAGTGAGGTTTTTCTACCTTTCCTTTCCATGAGAGAAGACCTGCTGAAACACAGTATATTTACAGTCCTCAAATTACTCGAGCTGTAAATGTTTTTGCTTTCATGGCCTCTGTTTGTGCTACTGCACATTTTGGGATGATGGATTATGGAGGGCCAGGTGTTGGGATGAAGAGAATCAATAGCGTGATACAAAAGATGAAATAACTGTGATGGAACATCAATAAAGGCTAAAAGCTGCCATAGGGATTTGAATCTTAAAGAAGAGTCTGAGAAAGTGTATTAAGAAGAATTCGCTTCTCCCCTTGCACTTGTAATGTCTTTATTCCATGAGCAGAAATCACCTGGGGGCTCTGTCAAGGACAGAGGTAGAGGAATGTTTTCTTTTCTGTGTGTACATGGTGTCCAGCACAACACCTCTGGGGCACCATGTCACAGTGTCAAGGTAATGTGAGGACACATTACCAGCTCGTGTGTCCTGACTGTGGGTGCAGTTTGGAATGTTCGGGCTGAAGTGGAGAGGATTTTATTTTATTTTTTTTAAAGAAATAAATTAAATTAAATTTGTTATTAATTTGGCACACTACTCCCACAAGCAAACTAGATGAATACACTTAGAAGTAACTAGTTGCAGTTCATGTCTGTGCTGTTGGGACATTGTTCCGAGGAAATGGCTGCTCCTCTGCTGCTGTGACCTGTTCTCAGGGGACCTGGCCACTAAAGAAACACAGTAAAGCTAGGCTGTTAGTGTTGAGAACCTCATCTGTTTCTATCTAAGCAAAAAAGACTACTGAAATATGTAATGAAAAAATAAACCTATTAGGTAAGTTTGGCATCATCACTTTTCTTTTGCAAATCAGGCACAACTGAAATAAATTAATGCAGAAACCAGGGTTAGGTCACATACCTATTTTCTTAGTTCAAAGTCAAACCATCACAAAGAGAAGAAGAGGAACACACTCTTCTGAAATACCTTGGCGTTATTACGAATAAATTAAAATGCAAGACCTTTTAAAAAATACTCCTCTCAAAATACTTAGTTCTGCCTTCCAAGGAATAGTCTAGCAATGCATTTAAGCTTATGACCTATTTCAAGCATGACAATGCAGAACTATTCACATGCTTTAAGCTATGCACAAAATTAATTGGCTGAAATTAACAGCCCTTCTGGGATGAGGTCAAATGCTCTGCTATAAGGACCTGACTCTGCCAATCTCACTCATGAGTTTTTTCTGCAGTAAGACAGCCATGGGATTTCATTCCATGCAACACAAGACTGGTGTAGCCAAAAGCTACTCATGTCTTAAATCTACAAGATGAAATCTTAAGCACCAGGATGAGGCCTTGTCCTTTAATATTGCATCACACTGACTTTTTTGGCAACTTGAGTTTCACGGGGTTTCAGTGCAGAATGTCCTCTAGGGACAGCTGCTCTGCAGATGTGGTGGAGAAGGGTCATCCAGGGCAAGAAAGCATGCTTAGCCTAGTTAGCACAAGGAGACAAACCCTGCCTTTAACCAGCTGTGGCTCATGTTCTTCCTGAGTTCAAAACTTTGATCTAAAGCTGGAAGACTAGTGACCTTAACCCAGCCTTTCCCATGTCAATGATGAATGCCTCAAGCACCAGGGTTTAGATCTTGGTACAATTTTTCCAGGAACTGCAGAACACAGGGGTCTGAGTGCTTTAAACATGCAGGTCTGAGCTTGGCTTTCCTGGGGGGCGGCAGAGGGGAAGACAGGCAAGGAGTGTGAATCTCAGAGAGTTCAGAAAAACTTTTTAAGTCACAAAATACACTTCCTGCCCAAACATGCTGTATTTCTGAGCGTGACATCGAACCTTTTTTTCTTTTTTGTCTCTACTTTCAGGTTGCTCCTATAATTAAGGAGAGGATGATGAAGAAGGGCAGCATGATGCTTGGGTACCAGCCTCACCGGGGCAAAGTCAACTTCTTCCGCCAGGTGGTTATCAGCCCTCAAGTTAGCCGAGAGGACATGGACTTCCTGCTGGATGAAATCGAGCTTCTTGCTAAGGACTTGTAGCTGTAGGTCCACAGCATCAGGTGCTGCTCATGTGTGATATTTATGGAGGAAGAGTGGCAGCAGCATTCTGATGCTATTTTGGGAAAGGTAGTAAAAAGCTTGGCATATAGTTTGGAGACTGTCATTTTACAGATTGATGTTGAGAACTTTACAAGTAGAACACCCCTTCACAGGAAAGTATTTGCTGACAGGGGCTGGGGGCAGGCCGGTGCTTCCAGCACCATTGCTGCCATTCTGGGAAGTGTTTCCTCAAGAAGGGAGCACTTCTGAAAGTGGTGTCTATGCCCCAGGAAAGGCAGCTATTTACTGGGTGCCTGTGCACAGTGCAGCTCTAACTGGTCACTTATGTATGCAGGCAAAATTCCTCTGAAGCTGCTATTATGAGTGGATTTGTCAGTGAGCCTTAAGTTGCTAGTTAATTCTCTTCTCTGCTCTGTCAATATTTTAGTTTGGTAATTAACATGAGAAGACTGGAAATTGTGAACTTATATGAAATGAGTTCCTCAAGGCCATCTAACTAGGTGGATTGCCCAGGTTTTCTGCTGTGAGCACAGGCAGACAGTTCATTGAGGCTCAGTCATCACACCTGGAGGTTTGCAGGAACCTCCTGCACAAAACCCTGACTAACCCATGTTGACCCTGCTGGGAGCAGGTTGAACCAGACGACCTTTCAAGGTCCCTTCCAACCCACAGGATTTTGTGAGTCTGTGAAACACAGTAATTTGATCCAGTTAGTGTTTGCCAGTGTTGCCCACCCAAAATATCACCACTTAAGGAGAGTCTGAAAATATTGGAATAACATTCAGAACTTCTTATTTTGTTAACACGAATTACCTATGATTTCTGAGCTGCTGTTCACCTTCATCTATTTTTTAAAGTGTAAAGATTTATTTAGAAGCGTTTAGATGCACTTTAAAATTTTAACAGAGAAAAAATATATATTTACGCAGAAGATACATATTTTTATGCATGGTGACTTTATATTAATAATATAGAAAAACTGCTTATTTGTCAGTGCTTGTTTATATTTTCCTACAGATTTGAGATATTCAATCTTACGTTACCAGTGTATAATTTGTAATTTTACTCTGAAATTACAGTAGTGGTGATCAGAGAAGGTCTTCCAGTGATTTTAGGATATGAACAGTTTGAACATTTTTGATCAATCTTAAGTTACAAAATTAAGTTCTGCACTTCGTCTTTGTCATAAGAATTTGACTTTACTTTTCACCTGTTTTTTATTCCATAAAAAGAATCCATTTTATAAAGATAGAAGTGTATTCCTTGTGATGAAGTTGTTGCAGCAAACCAATGGAAATAGCCATGTCTTTCACCTTGTAATCAACATCTACTCAATGTTAATGCTTTGCTGTTTGTTCCTTATTCTGTATTTGAGGTAGCACTGACCAGTATGAACCTTTCTGCTATAATGTTTTCTGTCCTCCTGAAATCTGTTTTAAGACACAATGCTTCCTTGTTTTCATTTCCTACATTGTATTAAGATCCAACATGGTACGAAATTCCTATTTCCAGTCTCCAGGGTGATGGTGTGCAAAGCTTAACAAGGTCATGGTAACCAAGGAGGCCACACTGTCAGAGCAGTAGTTAAGAGCAAGGGTCACCTGCAGCCCTTGACAGGTGCCTTTAACAGTGCCCTGGAAGTGGATATACTTGTGCTATCATAGGGATCCACTGGACTTTAAGCAAAACCCATGTTGATAATAAAATGAATATCACAACGTGGCCCCTGGATTTTGCTCATTAACACCCCCAAAACACTCCACCAGTTATTGATGGGGTGTGCTTCTGGCTATACCAGAACTTATTCTGATCTTGGAAAACCTAAATTCAGAGCCCATAAGGCCTTTTTTGCCTCCCAGTCACTTGGGATGAGTTTAGAGGGCACAAGGAATGTTGCATGAAGGAGATGACTTTGCTCTTTCATCTTGAGTTAGACAGGACCATTACCCCTTCTCCTTCTCTTTTTTTGACCTTGAAGGGAAGGACAGAATACAATGAGAGGATGTTTTGTTTACGGTCCAGATTCTTGGTGAGCATTTGATTTTTTGATTCATGGAGAAATTTTGACACTTTTCATCAGCTAAGGATTTGCTCTGTGGTGTTTTGTGACACCACCACTATCAAAAAAGTGTTACTGTATTGCTTCTTTCCATGTTCTTAGTGCGTTTCTCTGTTTCCAGACACTGTGACACTCATGGCACATGTCAGGTAGAAGTAACACGGTTCCTTTCTGTAGCAGTAGTGGCTATAGTGTTTTTAAATGAGAGTAAACTGGAACTTTTTCCATAGTTGCAGAAAATCAACATGTGCACTGATTTCTTTGAAGCTATAGGTTAACCTTCCAGTGTGATGTGAGTACCTTATCCAATCTCCATATATTTTCCATTGTTTCTGACGCCTTACCATATCCCAGGTGCTCAATAAGATGGTTTCATTTCAGGACTAATGTAATTTTCTCATAGTTGCTTATGTAGGAGTAGTATGTACAAAAGGTCTATTTTGTAGATGGTGATTTTAATAAAAACTGAAGTAAATGATACCCTTATAAATACAGGCTGTGTTTGTCATTTGTCAATCTAAAACTGCATATAAAAATATAGGTGGTAACTCTAAGCACTCCAGATAAATAGCACTTCAGCTTAAAATGTGAAACTTAGTTTAACCTCGCTTCAGGATGTGGTTTATCTGTGTGCTGTGCCCACATCATTGTTTATAAACATTTTGGGTGAAAACATGTCACGATTTATCTTACTCCTGCTTTCAAATGCAGAAGCTTAATTGTGCAGAAAGACATTTAATTTTTATTATTTTTTTGCTATTCTAGCTAGTTGAGGTTGGACCATGAACTCCCTCTCCTGGTTACTGGCAAGCTCCATCTCTCAGGATGTTAAACAAAGTTCTGGAAGTAATGAGGTACATGCCTAAATCAGTGTAGAAGCTGATCCATTTCTTACCTATAATTTCTTGTGTCTACTTCTAATAGTGTTTTCAATAGAAAAGGAAAGAAATATTTAGACAGAAGGGATATGGAGGCAGATTTTACTCTTAGTTGTGTGGCTGCATCTTGTGAGAAATTTGGGCATTTTGTGATGGGTCCATGTGCAAAATCACCCACATAAATCACTGTGCTTAGAGCTAGCAGTCCCTGTCTCAGGACTTCTAATATGATTTTCTGTGATTAATGAACACTAATCATCAGAGTCTGGTTACATATGCTTTTAGTGCTTCTAACTCCCACTCATTTAACTGGAAACCCTTGCTGATTGGACCCTGAGTCTCATCACTGGGATCTCTCATTTCAACACCAGTTGGCACTCTGAACATCTCAGTTAACCTGCTCGAGGTTCATGCCTAGAGATTCAGATTTATCTTTATTTTTGTGAGATTGGATTGAAATGTATTTTCATTTGTATCCTTCAACGATACATTAAGATGCTTTTCAAACATAATTTGACCTGTCCTTAAAGGACAAGCAATGTCCTTTAAGAAAAGCCTAGTAGAACTGGTAGAGTTGCATTCCCAGAATGCCAAATAAGAGTATGTAAAAACCTGTTATGTGCCTGAAGCTTCCTCATACACACAGCCTACAGCACTGATTCATGCTGAAATAATTCTTATTTTTAAAGCTCCAGGTATTGTGACAGGGCTTAGAAAACTGCTATGAAATGTTGAAGGCAGAGGATAATAATTCAGAATTGCTAAATGTTGAGTTTGCTCTTTCCTGTTAGCTCACACATCAGCTCTGTGACAAGCCAAAAGTGAACTAAAAGTGACATTTGAGTCCCATATTTTCCACAGTGCCAAATCTGCCCAGCCTCTCTTCCCCGTTGGCTACTTCCATGTTTTTTCAGTGGCTGAGTGACATGTGGAAAATCAATTGTTGGAAATCAGATGCTGAAGGTATGGCCCACTCATTCCTGCCCTCCTTTCTGTGGTGTAACTGGTAAATGCTGGTAATTATTTGAGCTTATGAGCACTATATCTAGTGCAGTAACTGCTAAATATTGCTACTGTTAAATCCTGAAATAATGCAATTGCACACGTTAATTTTGTCTTAATTGCTCATGCTAATTGCAGGTTAGATGCAATCAAAGCCACACTGCCTGACAAATGCACAGTGTACACCACAAGAAACCCTGGTGGAGGGGTTTTCTTTCTTTAAATTGAATCTAGTCTCCCACAATTACATGTTTTTTCTTCAGATGTACAATTAGATGTTATTACTCTAATTTTGTAACTGCACAATAATCAACCAAAAAATTACTTTGAGAAATAAAACAAAACAAATCAAGGAAATTTGCTCTGCAAGAGGAACAAAAAAGAGAATGTCAAAGGTTTCAAGGCAAGCCCACAGAAGAAAACAATGGCTGTGTGAATTATTAACCTCTGCTAAGTGAATTGCTCTGAGCCTGTGCTGCAGGAGAGGAGCAGGGAAGCTGTTCCAGTCACGGAATCATCAAGGAACTTGTACATGCCCTGGCACTGGAGCAATGTGCCCCAGCATGCCATGGCTATCCTAGAGAAGCCCTTCCACAAGTCTGCGTCTTTGTAGTTCATTGACAATTTTTGTATGTACCAAGATAAAGTTTGTTTTAAAGCGGTCTTAGTAAGAAAAGTGACACTGAAAGGGTAATCTTTAAAAAGTCCGAGAGAGAGGACCACTTTCAGCCTTGGTAGCTCATGTACAACTAAAGAACAATAGATCACATTTCTAAAATTCATTGAAGAAAACTTGTAAAATCTTTATTTTATCAAGGATGAAGGCAAATAACAGAAAGGTATGGACTCAATCTGTCAAACACATGTTCTGTTTCGAGGAAGTAATTTCTTTCTTGTGACTTTTTAACTTGTACAAAGCTATTTAAAAATGGAAAGTATTATGAAAAAACTTCCCATGAAATAGCGCAGACCCATGGAAAGTAACATTTTTCTTTAGGACTGTGCACAACACTGTTCTTCCAAGAAACTCTCACCCAGCTTGTCATTCTGGGAAGTGACTCCTTAAATCTGTCAGGCACTGACACTGGCAGATTTATCCATCCCTTCTTTTCATGCCAGCTGATATGAATTTTTATTCTTTCTTTGTTTCTGTACCCTCTCTCATGCCTGTAAATTTTTTTCAGAGGGATATTTTCAGTATTTGGAGCTATAAGGAAAAATGTCAGAGTAGCATAAGGGCTAAGATTGAAAGCTGAAGCAAACGTAGTGCTCAGGTTATCTTGATGGAATATTTTGTCTTCCTTTTTCCAGTAAGGGATTTGTCCAGATGCTCAGATGATGAGCAGCCACTGCTTCTGCTGGAACTGTGGTAACACCAAAATCAAGACTTCACATGGGAGATCAAGTTTGGCCTTGAGAAACTGAATAAGACAAAGAGTGGCAGAGAGAAATGTCCTCTTTTACCAATGAATGATACACAAGGAACTTGAAACTTCTATTTTTGTAAAAACTTGTACCATAGATTTAGAAAAAATGTGGAAGGAGT